TTTAAAGAGTTGAAGTAGAAAAAGATGAGGGGAAAAACAGACCTTCTGAGAACCTGCTATTTCCCTAGAGTGATGAATGGGATGCCTGTTGTCTGTGCTTGCTCAACCTTCATCCTTCTTCTGGGAGGAGTTCCTCAGATTTCCACCGAGAAGCCTCCTGCCTGTCTCACTCCATCATGGCTTCAGGAGTGGGGACATGATACAGGCCTGGCCGGTCAACATTATAATCACTGGTCATTCTCAAGGCATTTAGGATGTGCTTTTTTAAAGCACTTAATCCAGAGCATTAGAATGTTATTTGCCAGGATTTGCTAACCTCGGTTGGAACACTCTTTGTTGTGGGTGCTGTCCTGCACGTTGTAGGATTTTTAGAGGCATCTCTGGTGTCTCCTGGATGCTAGTAGCACCCTTGAGTTATGACAAACAGAAATATCTCCTGACATTGTCAAATGTCCCCTGATGGGGCAACATTGCCCCTGGTTGAGAACCCTTGAACGCATGCAGCCTTGCTCAGGTCAGGGAGATTCATGTCCGAGACTTCCATTACAACTATTGGAAGGAGAATTTCCACCAGGCTGGGGCCATCATGCACCTCCATGGGAGAGACTGCCTGACAATGCAGCCAACACAAAGCGAGGTGGGCTGAGAGGTGGAGAAAGAGACAGACCTGCATATTTTAGAGGCTATTATTGGAGCCACTGGATTCAGCCAAGTTGTATTTTAGTTATGGTGAGCCAATTAATTCCCTTTTGGGCTTCAGCCAGTTTGGTTGGGTTCCCGTCACAGGCATTCAAAAAGCCTCCCGAGTGACATGAGACACTGTAAATTTGATCTCATTTAACCCTCATAGCTGCTCCCTCAGGTGGGTTTGTTTATCTGCACTTTACAGATTTAAAAATTAAAGAGCGTAGCAGCTGCCTCTTGGATCTCTACCATCCGTTCACAGCACTGCTCGGAATCAAAAAACACTTGCATAATGAATGCTTGGGGGCTGCCTCCCTCGCCCAAGCGTCACCTTAGGCCACAGATGTTGTGTCTTTCTTGTTCCCTGAAGCCCCAGTGCCAAAAACAGCACCTTACTCCTGGTAGGTGCTGGAAAATGTTTGTTTGCATAGATGAATATGGTTATGTGGCTTGTCCAAGAACCTGGCCCAAGATCAGATTTCAAAGCCCATGTGTGTTTCTGTATGACTTCTTACATGTTTTCTTCTGCTTTGCTCCAGAGGGGAGAGCTAGATCCAATGATATGTGTAAGGAGAACCATTTCAGTGCAATTGAAGGAACAGATGCACAGTCGGCTCTGTGGAGTGAGGAAATGACCCATCTCAGAAAAAGCCCATGAGGTTGGTGATGGTGACGATGATGACGATGGCGATGACACTGGGGAACAAAGGCTGGGCGATGAAGCCGGGTCAGTTACTGGATAAACACCTTCCATCCACTATCTCACTTAATCTTCACAGCCACTCTCTGACGTGGCCATTCTTTATCTTCACGTCATCGTAAATTACGTGAAAGTCAAAGAGTTTAAGAAATGCATGTCCTGTAATCCCAGCACTCTGGTAGGCGGAGGTAGGTGGATCACGAGGTCAAGAGATCGAGACCAGCCTGGTCAACATGGTGAAACCCTGTCTCTACTAAAAATATAAAAATTAGCTGGGCATGGTGGTGCGTGCCTGTAATCCCAGCTACTCGGGAGGCTGAGGCAGGAGAATTGCCTGAACCCAGGAGGCGGAGGTTGTGGTGAGGTGAGATCGCGCATTGCACTCCAGCCTGGGTAACAAGAGCGAAACTCCGTCTCTAAAAAAAAAAAAAAGAAAGAAATGCATGTATAGCCCCATGAGCTGTGTGCATCAGAGCCCAGACTTGAAGCTGGGCCCATAGCTCGTGTTTGTGTGTCAAAAACAGTCACTGTCCTGTCTCATGAGGGAAGGAGGATCCTGTTACTTTGGCCACACAAGCAGAGGATAGAGGATGCCAAGTGGGGCACTGAGATTCAACCGGAATTCTTAATGGCTCAGAATTCCCTCAGCCAGAGACTCCAAGAGGTGAGGAACCTGCATCCGTGTGAGGCCCAGGTCATGTGGTATGGCCCATCTCCAGAGACTATTCCTGGCCCCTTTTGATTCCCCACCCTCCTTTGTTACCCAACTCACAGATGAGCTTGACATGTCCTAACTAGGGACAGCCCCACTGTTGGAGCCGCCAATGACCAGCCCCACCGGAACTCTTCCCCACTGCTCCAGGAATGTCTCCCCCAGCTACACCTTTGAGCACCTTCCACTGGTCCTCCCGGGCCACCACTGCCGTTTCCTCTCCCTCCCTGACAATCCCCATGGGAGAGGAATAACAGAGCATCAGGAAGGCGTTTCAAATAGCATCATGTGACAGGAAGAGTGTTGGCCTGGGGTCAAACACACGCAGATCTGAACTTCAACTTTTTGTAACCTTGGTCCAATTGCCCACCAGGTCTTGGACTCATCATTTGAAAAGCACAGGCAATGATGCAAACATGGAGTTTTAAGAAGTAAATTATATATCGGCTGTCAAGGACGGGTGTCTAGCAGGAGGTCCATAGATGACACCTTTCATTTTCTATTTTTGCTCCTTTTCTCCCCAGCAGAGTTACTCTTCAAACTGAAACTTCAGCCCAATTCAACTTTTACTCTCATAAATGATAAAAAGGAAACTGGCAGCTGCTTGGGGCACAGCAACCAACACCTTCTGATGTGATCTTTTTCTGCATCCTCACTTCTTGACGACTCCTCTGTTACTTAAGAGCTTGAAGATATTTTCAAGGATGTTTTCTCTTTTGCTTTTCTTTTCCTTTTTTTTTCCTGCCAGTAAGGGTAGTCAAGCTACTTTGGTTGTCCTCATTTTATATGTGAGAATAATGCTGGCTGAAATGGGAGGTGGCAAAGCCCCTTGTGACACACCTGATACACAGCATAGTCAGGACTTGCTGCGCCACAGCATTCTGGGCTGATCCCAGTGTTCCTTTTTCTGTTCCACCTGCTTGGGTTCAGAGCCTTCTTAAGAAGCAGCCTTGGGGTATAAGTGCCATGGGCAGGTATAAAGTAAGGAGACGTCACAGGCCAGATCCTGGGGTGGGGGAAGTGATTCCATTCAACTAGGACAAGCAAGAGGACCATGGACAGGGTCTGGCTTGAGCCAGAGGCTTAGTGACCATGCCTCAATGCCCCTGACCAGTGATGCCAGTCTGGGTGCCAGCCAGTCACTCGCCTGCTGTCAAACAGTCATGGTTTTGCGGCACATTCCCACCATTGAGAATTGGCCCGTAACTAAGATCCGCTTGGCATAGTGGAAAGATCATGATTCCAGCCTAAGCTCAGCCACGGTGTGAGCTAGCTAAGCTTGTGCAGATGCCCTCCCCTCTCTGACCCCCCATTCCCCATCTACCAACCCACAGAGGACAGAAAATTAAACAAGAGAATGTGTGAGTGCCTGGAACCTTGAAGGACCTCAGAAAATAGCATCTCTCACTACATCATGCAATTGTTGTCCTTCCCGGCACTAAACTCCCATTAGTTACTGCTCTGAAAGTGGTCTTGGGGACAAGGAAAACGTCAGCATCTCCGCTACCTCACAGGTATCACAGAGCCTCATAAGCACCACTTAGATGTTCGCAGGGTGGCTTCCTGTCCCAACTTTTGGAAAGCCTGCTTTGAAACATCAACTCTAGTTTTCTCCCTGTTGGAGTATGAGGAAGAATGTAAAGGAATGGGTGGGCTCGTCCCTAATAGGGTTTCTGTAGTCCCAGGGTCTGAGGAGACTTTCTGGGGTCTGATGAATCTCCTCCTTAACTCACGTCAATGCAATGTGGAGGTTTGTCAAGTACTTACTAGGTAGTGATATGAAAATAATGATAATGCCACTAATGTGGTCAATAACAAGAGTTTCTGTTTATTCAGCTGCGACTCATGGCCATTCTTCCTCCATTCCTTTGGTCTAACGTTGTAACATTTCCTGCAGGTAAAAACTATCATGCCCATTTGGCAGATAAAAAAACTGAGGCTCAAATAAATTAAATGGTTTGGCCAAGGCCACACAGCTAGTAAGTGGAAGACGCATGATTCAAGTTCAGACATGAATGTCCTGGCCCCAGCAGATTGACGTGATAACTCCTCCATCACTTGGAGAACCTCTGCTCTTTCCACGCACAGCTCACTGGCTCCAGGATCTGTTGTTATGTACAAGGATACAGAGAAAGTGTTGTTTGTGGGGATGTATCAGTAAGTCAGCCTGCTCTGAGAGAAGGATTCCTGTCTTAAACGAGTGAGCAGCGAGGCTCACAAGGTCAAGTGGAGCTGATTGGAGAGGGCCTGGGTAGGAAAGGGGGCTGATAGGAAGTTTTTGATTCTCACTGCTTCCTTGACAGTAGCGTAAATGATATGAAATGACCTAAACGTCTATCAGCCAGGGAGTGGCTAAATGATGAGACCGCCGTATAATGGAAGACTGTCTAAACAGCTGATTTTCTGGAAAAGCAGATCTGTATGTACTTATGTGGAACAATTTCCAAGGCACTGCACTGTGTCCTCTATTTTCCCCGACACCCAGATCGATTCCCCTCCCCTCCCTGCTCTGCTCTGTGCCGCCCCAGGAGCACCTCCTGGATGGCAACATGGCTTCGTGGTTCACTGGCTTTCATATCGGTGTGACCAGTGTGTGCCTCTGCAGCAGGTTGGAAGGTGGGAGGAGGGAGGGGCCAGAGCATTTCTTCCCTGCTCCTGCCCCATTTGGGTGACATGTCTCTGACACAGCCCACGTTTCTGCTGCTTCTCATCAGCCTGCAGTCCAGGGCTTCAGTTATCTTTGGGCCCTGGTCTCCGATTTCTTCCCCTTTCCCCTTTGGGCATTCGAATCTCTCCAGTTGAACTGTCTGAGTGGAGTTCTGTTGCCTGCCAGGACCCTGACCATGACACAGATATATTATGAATGTGGAGGACACCCCCAGATAGAGACAGGTCCCTACTGACCTCCCAAGGACCTTTCCAATCATCTTCACCATTAACGTCCCCACAAGTCCACCGATGGCGAATATGGATACGGTCACAGACCAGAGCAGAGTCAGAGTGTCCGGGTCTATTGGATGTTCATGCCTTCTTTGCCATGACTCATTGTAAAAGGCCTTGATGTACTGAAAACAAACAACAAACCATGTTATTTCTTTCTGTTCCATCCTGCTGCTTGAAGCGAGCCAGTGTATTAAACAAAACAGCTTTTATAGAGCATTTTTATGCATGGCACTTTGCTGACTTCTGTTTGAGCTTTATCTCATTGGACTCTTCTAACACATTTTGAGACCGGTCACTTTTTTACCTCATTTTGCAGATAGGGAAACTGAGGCTCAGGGAGACAAAGTGACTTGCTCAGTAAGTGCTAAACCTGGGAGCAGGACTCAGATCTGACCCCAAGCTTATGATGACCTTCATAGCTGGGCTTCTCTGATTCTAGTGCACCACAGCTTTGCCTTGGAGGTGTGTTAAAGGGCACATATCCACCGGGTACAGTGGCTCACGCCTGTAATCCCAGCGCTCTGGGAGGCTGAGACGGGTGGATCACTTGAGGCCAGGAGTTCAAGACTAGCCTGGCCAAGATGGTAAAACCCTGTTTCTTCTAAAATTATCCGGGTGTGGTGGCATGTGCCTGTAATCCCAGCTACTTGGGAGGCTGAGGCATGGGAATCCCTTGAAACCAGGAGGCAGAGGTTGCAGTGAGCTGAGATCCCACCATTGCACTCCAGCATGACCCTGTCTCTCAAGAAAAAAAAAAGGCACATACCTAACAAAAGAGGTACCTTGGGATAGGCAAAGATGCAAGACACACAAGAAAACGAACCATAACAGAAAAAAAAAAGTTCCTTTGAATATAATCAAGATTTACATCTTCTGTTCTTCCAAAGACACAATCAGAAATGAAAAGACAAGCCATAGACTGAGATAACTTATTTCCAGCACATACAACTAGAAAGAAATCATATCCACAATATACAAAGAACTCTAGCATGTCAATAAGGAGGCAAACAATGCAATTTAAAATGAGCGAAAACCTGAACAGACTCCAAAGAAAATACAAATGATGGGTATGCTAATGACAGAATGCCTGACATCATTCGTCAACAGAGAAATGAGACCACAAGGAAATACGACTTCACGTTCACTAGATCCCCATCACTGCCAATTCCGATTCAGTGTGTTTGGGACAGGGACTAGGTGATTCTGATGTACACCAAAGACTGAGGTCCACAGCACTAACCTCCAAAGAGAGTTCAGTCCCCAAGGTACTCAGAGTTCCCTGTTTCTACCCAACAGGGAGCCCACAAACTTTAGCTAAGCCGGTACATGACACTGCGAACTCAGACCTGGGCTCAAATCCCAGCACAGCAACTTGCTAATGATCCAAATCAGCTGAACCTTGGTTTTCTTATCTACAAAATGGGAATGATAAGATTGTCCTCTCAGGGCTGTTGTAAGGGTCAAATGAGAGCCTGAAGCAGTGGCCAGTACTTGAGTGGAGCTCACACAATCCCCATACAAGCTAAAAATTAAAAGGTCCGGTAAGACTGAAGAGTGACAAGCAGTGTGTACACTGCTGGTGGGAGTTTAACTTATACATCCATCTTGGAAAACAGCTTTGGCATCTTCTAGTCAAATGGAAGATGCCCATAACCTACAACCCAGCAAATCCACTTCTGGAAAACTCCCCCAGGGAGCCCTAGGATATATCTACCCAGGGGTCTATGGCAGCATTGCCCGTAATAGCCGCAGACGAGAAACCACCTGGATGCCCATGGTCAGCAGCAGGGACAAACAAATTGCAGAATCGTCATCATAGGAAATCCTACAGCTGCAAATGTGAATGAATAAAGCTCTGTGCAAACACACATGGAAAAACCTCGAAGGAATAACACTGACCAAAAGAAGCTGAAAACAAAAGAACACACACAGTCCGATTCCGCATGTAAAACCCAGAAGTATGCCAAATTAAAAGACTTTTGAAGGATTATACATAGATGGTAAAACTACAAAGAAATAATTATTTCAAATGTCAGGTCAGGGGCCATCTCAGGAGATGATAGAAGAAACAACTGGGGAGGGCCACTTGATAGGACCTTCTTTTTCTTCTTTTTTTTTTTTTTTTTTTTCAGGCTGGAGTGCAGTAGTGTGATCACAGCCGGCTGCAGACTTGATCTCCTGGGGTCAGGAGGTCCTTGTACTTCAGTCTCCCAAGTAGCTGGGATGACTACAGGTATGTGCCACGATGCCTGGATGAATTTTGTTTTGTTTTGTTTTGTTTCTTGTACAAGTGAGGTCTTGCCAGGTTTTCCAAGGCTGATCTCAAGCTCCTGGGCTCAAGCCTTTCCTCCCGCTGCAGGCACCCCGGACCTTCTATACTTAACCTGGATTGTGGTGACATGGGTGTTAGATTTATACTCAATCTTTAAAGTATGTGTGTGTGTGCGCGCACAGACATGATGCATATGTGTGTATTTTATATACTCTTTGGTATGCATAATACATGCTCCCAATTGAAACGGAAAAGAAAGATGGCAGGAAAGTGTTTCAGGTAGAGGGAGAATCATGCCAAGACAGCATGACAGAAGAAAGCTTGGGTGGCCATGGAAGTGCAAGGAGGCCAACGGATGAGGAATAGGACCAGAAAGGGAAGGAGTGGGCTGGATGAAGTTGGAGGGCAAGAAAGGGCAGGTCACGTGGGCCTAACAGGACGTGGACGTGAGCCTGGTTTTTTACTTGGATTCTACTCTAGATGAAGTGGGAAAGTGTTGGAGGGTTCTTGTGGGGGGGAACGCGGCGTGGTTTGCATTTTCAGAGGATCCCTCTGACAAGTGGGTGACAGGGGAGCTAGACAGGAAGCCGGGCACACTGTAAGGGCACTGCAGCAGTCCAAAGATCATGGAGGCCTTCACTAAGCAGTGGAAATGGAGGGAAGCGGATGGATTTAAAGTGGATTTTGAGAGTAGCATGGGCAGGACTTCTGAGTGATTGGCTCCAGGTTTGAGAACAGAGGGTGTAGCAGAAAGTGAAAGAAGAACACAGAAGACTCCCAGGTTTCAGACATAAGCAAATGGTCTGATGGCAGGAACCGAGGTGAGGAGGGGAGACCACCTCTGCCTGTGAGGTATTTATCTTCTGTTTTCTCTTTCTTTCTGGCTTCACAACTATCTTACTCATAGCACGGAGTGAGAATAGAATATATTATCAACAGCTACAGCTATTTCTATTGATGAAGTTTCCAGATCTGGATGCACAAGGTACTGATCTACATCACCCACTGACTCATTCAACAAACATGTGCTGACTACTGGGCCCTGAACCAAACGCAGAGATAAACTGAACATAACCCTGATCTCAAAGATCTTCCATGCCCTGGAACTGATAATGCAATGTATCATTTAAGGGTGCTTTTAGTTCAAGTAACAGGAAACCTCAACTCAAAATAACTGAGCAATGAGGACACTTACAGAAATGCAAATTTACAGCAGTGGGGAGCTTCAAGAACAGCCCATCTCGTGGCTCAGTAATGGCCAAGAATCCAGGTACTAACCCCACACCTCCAGATTTATATATTCAAGTCCTAACTCCCCGTGTCTCAGAATGGGTCCTTATTTGAAATAGGGTCATTGCTGATATAATTAATTCAGATGAGGTCATATTGGAGTAAAGCCCACCCTATTCCAACATGACTGGTGTCCTTTATAGAAAGAGGATTCAGAGACACACTGGTAGAATGAATTTTGTTCTGCCTCCAAACTTCATATGTTGAAGTCCTAACCCCTAGTACCCCAGAATGTGACCTTATTTGGAGACAGTCTTTACAAAGCAAATAATATTAAAATGAGGTCATTAGAGTGGGCCCTAATTTAACATGACTGGTATGCTGATAAAAAGAGGAAATATGGAGATAGACAGGCACAGGAGGAAGACTATGTAAAGAGGCATAGGGAGAAGAGGGCCATTGGTGAGCCAGAATGAGGGGACTGAAACTGAGCCGTCCTTCAAAGCCCTCAGAAAGGACCCATTCTGCCAACACCTTGATCTTGGACTTCTGGCCTCCAGAACTATGGAATAACACATTTCTGTTCTTTTAGTCACTCAGTTCATGGTACTTTGTTATAGCAGTTATAGAAAACTAATATTTTGCCTGGCTTCCAAAATGCTTCTCACCACTTCCACCATTCCACCACTCAGCTGGTCCAAAGTGCCATCCCCTTCACTGGGGCTACCAAGACACTGATTCCTAAGGCCTCATCAGAGCACTGCCAGCAGCCTTCTGAATGGGTATTGTCTTTTCTCTCAGTGGCTGGACATTTACCTGACATTGACCACTTAGTCAATGTCAAGGCTTTCTGTCCTTTATAGGACATTTATCTGCCTTTTAGGCACCCCAGCATCAGAAGCCCTCTGCCCACTTGGGAGACTTTCCTGCCTTAGAATCTTTAGCAGGAAACAGAGGACACATCACTACAGAAGCTAAACATGCCAGACATGTGCTCTCCCAGAATCCCCGTAGCTAGAAGTGGACATATGATTAAGGCTCAGCCAATCAGACACTGAAACGTTGACCAAGGTGCTAGTGGGGCTAAGACATGGGGCTGAGGAGGATTCTCCAGCAGCAGAGGGAGCTCCGGTGAGATTGGGTTTGGGGTCAGCAGCAGGGGAGCTGCAGTGTCATGTGCCAGTGGTACAGTCAACAGCAGTGGTGGCTAGCGGGGAGCCCACAGGACCAGCTCTGCGAGTGACTTAGGGTATGATCTCCAGCTACAGAGCTTCCAAGCCTGGCTCTCCAGCCCTCCCCCCGATGCTGCGAGCAACCCCCTCTTTTATCAACAACTTTTTTAGCTGTAATCAGATAAAGTTGATTTTGTTCCTTACAACCATGGAAATATGGAAAGTCTAGCAAAGCACATAAATAACCTCATTTCATCCTCATGACAACCCTAGTGGTTAAAGCCCTCCTTTACAAACAAGGGGCCTGAGAGTTATGTAATCTGTCCACAGTCACTTGGCTTATATGTGCCCGAAGGGCTTTTGTCCTGGAGCTGCCTAACATCAGGGCACAAGTGCAACTGCTCCAGAAACTGAACTCTTGAACTCGTGATTAAGATTTGAAAGTTAA